TACTTAACTGGACCATAGAAGGCAACTCTGGGACCATTCCAGAGGATAATTTGCTGCTTGATCCCCTACTGCTGGGAGGGCCTTACGTGATGGCGGTGGGCGTGTCTAAAGACCGAAAAGGTTTTAAAGATATCTTCGGCACCTTATCACCATGAACTGAACTTCCATAATTGTACCCTAGCTTTGGCCATTGTGATTAAAAGAGCCGCTTATCGCTTGCACTCCTGTTATCACCTTAGATGTGCTGTTGCTCAGCCGACTCTACTTATAGTCTTCGAATTTTCTCATCTTGAAGCGTTAGTTTGATCTGACGGGAAGGCCTAATGATAAGCTTTGCATTCTTGGGATACGCCATGTACTTGATATCCATTACGGACTTTGAAGGGTCCGTTGTAGTTTCGCATTATTCAGAAGCCTGAAGTGACATTGATCACCGAATTGATTGCGCTACCCATAGAGTAGCATAAATTGGTGGCCCTAAGTTGCTACTATGAGTACTAGCAATTGCAACTTGTAGACATAATGACGCACGACAATCAATTAGTCAGCCGACAGGAAGCTTCAGCTACCTCGACCATCTCAAACAGAAAAAAAGCTATTTGCACACTTGATGGCAAGAGTAGGTATCTATAGCGCTTTGCAGAGAAATGTATGTACTTTGCCTGTACCCCTGCACAAATGTGTGGGGGGAGAACCATATCGAGTTCTATTTCCTAAATGACCACCTTACTCAACAACTCCCCCCCCCCTTCCCCACCCACTCTCAACCCAATCCAATGAGTAGTGAAACACTGAGGTTGAGTTCAATACCAAGAAAGGAAAAATACCATGAAATTCCGAAAATTTTCCAAGAATTTCTTAAGATCTCTTAGTAGATCTACTGGGTCATTCCCGAATCATTTCAAACGCTTGACGTACTACCCTCTCCCCTCCCTCCCCCCTCATTCCAAAAGTACACGGCCACCACCACCGAAAACGACTCTCTCCTTCTAGGGCCAATTACCAGCCTTACCGAAGGATCTCTGGGACATACTATTGGGCTTTGGTAAGGGCCTAGGTAGGGCGACAGATTTGGGAAAGGAACACAAGCATTTCATTGTTTACACGAGTTGCACCTATTTGACTTCGCAACGATAGAGTAACTGGTTGAAGAGCAGTAAAGACAACAAGGGTAAGTTGTAGGTATCCCCACGGGAATCCACTAGGGCATTCTCTAATCGTCTACGCTCTACCCATCGCGGCAGGACCATTGAGGAAAAATCAAGTAGTCGTAAACCTTTAGATCGAGCTGAAGTCCATACGGTAGCAATCAACTCAGCTCAGATTTCAACCACAGCGCTGTCGCATCCGTACGATTGGAACAAACACATTCACCATGATGCCACCCACGCCTAGTAAACACCCAACCATTTCCTATGTGACCCTTAGTTCGCCACATAATCACGGCTCAGCAGGACTTACTGCGCCACTCAACTCCTGATTCACCGTTTACATTACTACGATCGACGAGCACATCACACGATGACGACAATCACTGATCGGCTCTGTAATCCGATCGGAACACCCTGACATCACTCAAATGACAATCGCATTGGTTTAAAAAAATGAAAAGGTGACATCGATCTCCTTCTGATACGCCGTACATCCCGCATTCATGCGAATTGTGGGCCTGGTTGGACATACAAAACGCCATTACATGAATTTCCAAGAAGGAAGGCGAAGAGAGGTAGTCACAAAGGCCTTACCGCCCTGGTATAGTGTATGTAGAACATAGGCCTTAAAGGCAGAATTCAGGATCCAACTTTTCGGGTTATTTCGCTTGAGGTTACACCGGAGATGTGAAGTGTAACGTCAGTGCACAAAAAAACTGGAAGAAACCGGCGACAAGAACGAAAATAGTTCTACTTTCCAGTGAGCGCGAAGAAAATGGCACCGATTTGTGGGCGTGGTCAATGATGCTGGGCGTGGCCAATGCTGCATCCTACGGCCTTAGCACTTCGGCCCTGTCAAATCGTCCCGAATCAGTGTACATGCTTCTCGCTTGCGTACCACACTGTACCACGTACATTACAACTTTACCGAGGAACGGCTGGATTTCGATCAGATATCCCAGACCATGACTTTAAGTTGGCCCTGAAGTGCTAAAGAAGCGGACAAGAATGCGCAAGAACGTCCCATGCCAACTCTTTTTTTATTTAATACTTCATTTATATCTATATATTCATATTTGTACATAAAATAACAGAGAAGTGTCACAAAGATCCGCCAGATGAGATGAGCCACTATGAGCATAACACGCACAAAATCTCTAACGAGGTATACCAGCTAAGACAAATAAAAACGGGCTAATACAGTAAAACGCACAGGCTACAAGGCTAGTAACTAATGATTTCGAAGAAAAAAAACTGTACAGTAATAAACGCTACATTCTACGAGAACACTGGAATCCATATCCCTGGTCAAAGTGAGTATCCTAGTACAACGTATGGTACAATAATCACTCAGGTATATGTTAACCAGGCAGTCATGTAACCAGAGATGCGTCAACACAGTAATTGCATAGACTTCGAATGTCACACGAGATAACAATACTCAGAACATATGTACAACAAGTAAAACCCAATTCCCACTATGTACAATACAATGAACATCTATTAACATATAACTATAAGCTTAAACCGCGCCCCAAACGAACTAGGGCGAGCACGGTTTCTAAGGAAAAAAGGCACGGCAGGATCGGCAAGGAGGCACTAGAGCTATACAAGAAAAAGTTTTCGGTTCATTCTACTTGCTCAGGCTAATTCAAAAACATATTCACTTTATTCTCGCGCCCGGACCTGTCGCAAATGCAAACTGCCTTCCACAAGTGACATTTGATGGCATCAGGAGCATCAAAAAGCACATGTGATATCGATTTTACAAGGCCGTTGACACGTGTGGTACCAAGTTTGCATTTCGACAGCCCCAACCGCGCTTAAGAGAGTATATAACATCACGCGCATATAGCGTTTACCCCCCCCCCCTCTCGCGCCACGTAAATTCTCGGTTAGCCGCGTGCGACGAAGTTTCGCGGCCACCCTGCAAAAAACGACTGCCGCACAAAGCTGTCGCGCGCGGCAACCGGCCAATCTGCGCGGTAAACGCGGTGGCGAGGATAAACGCTACACCCATCTAATAGCGACACGCCTATTTACAAGTTAGCTCTACATTTTAAAAATACACGTATATTGCGAGTTACTCTCCAATTCCGCTGGCCATTTCTTGCTATAATATTCGTGATGGTTCAATGGCGATTGTACATGCTTCTACTTTTTTCATCTTAAATGTTTCAAATGTCCAAATTTGGCAATGGCAAATTTTGCGATTCGCGCGAATGCTCAGACTTCTAATACAGCCTAAACGCTACACACATATAATAGCGACACGCCTATTTACAAGTTAGCTCTACATTTTAAAAATACAACTAAACGTACATTTTTGAGTTAAGTTCGTGATAGCAACAATTCTAATAACAGCAGGTAGCTACCTCAAGGTAAGACAAAAGCGTGCTACAAAAAAGCGGAGTGGATGAGCAACAATGTTCGTATATGTAAATCCACGCGGGTAAATGACTACGCCAAAAAATCAACTTCTACAAATCGTGCGGCTAATGGTAAGACAAAAACGATGACGCTGTTGTACTGGGAGGAGCTACACAGTGCAGTATTTCATTCCACCGACAGAAATCCCATTATTAGCACGGTAAAGGGGCTCCAGGGTTTGCGAGCCATTTTGCCTGTGCGATAAGGGGAAGAATGTATTAAAATGAAAATGTTACTATCGTGGTTTTAAAAGCTTTGAATGCTCTGCAGATGCCCCCTCCTAGTACACCAACGCCAAAACGGCCACTCAGTCACTTTCTTCTCAGAAGGCATCAACATAACAAAGTACTCATCTGTGGTACCGTAAATACTTCTCTGCTTCTCCTATCGGTCATTTGCATTGAATCACAATCTCTCCCATATTAGCAAATGAGTAGCTGGAAATGAATGAACCATAGAAAAAGAAAGTCTCGATGGAAAATAAAAAAATAAAGCTTACTAATACATGAAAAATGAAGCTTACTAGTATCCTTTGTTCCTTAGGTATGACTCAACAGCTGTTTTTATCACAGCTCTTCCTCCGCTACTTTTACCATAACCAGTAATCACATGCAGACGACGATCAGATCTTCCATTCCTCTTTGCTTCTGGGCCTGAATCGTAGTTAGGTTATGCGGGATCTGATGACTGGAATGATAGCACTAATATGAACGGGAAACTTACGATCCAACACCGCAAGCCGATCTCTGAGCAATGATAGCGCCTCCTTTTGGCTGAGCAAGTGGAAATCAAGCACATTTGATTGTTCTTGGGCTTTTATAATGATCCTGCTAGCCTCTTCACGTAAACACTTTTCTCGTAAAGCGTGCTCTCGAGCCTAAAGTAATATGCAATGTATAGTGAAGGAGCGCTACAGCTAACATGAGTTTGATGGTGGACGACAAACGCAAGTTCAGAATCTACTCACTACTTGTTGGAAAGCTCCTGCCGCCGCTGGCATTCCGTTTCGTATATACCTAGAACGAGTGAATTAGACCTCAAAGCATTGCAATACGATCATAATCCACTACCTCTGTGCCTTCTGGTTCTCCTGCGATCGCTTCTCAGCGTGGAGATCAGCTTCTTTTCGAATCTGGATTGCCTGTTCTTGCGCAAGCGAGAGACTGATTTCTGGAGGAGGTCGTCGACGTGGCGTTGTTGCAGGAGCTACCTTTAAACACGGACCAATGACTTGGTAACCAAGACTGGTCAAAAAACTCGAGGCAGCATTCACCATGGTTCCCATGGTTTCAGGGTAATCCTCAAAACGATATGAGATGAATTTTCTCGAAAAAAAAGTGCGCAACAAAACATTTTCAACACAGCAACGTGCAATTCATAGCTTTCAGCAGACCTTATTATTTGCTGCAGTAAATGGCTGTTCCACAATTTCGATGTCCGGATTTAGCATAAAATTCAAGGTAGAGCGTGTTGCTTCTGCATCGTACCTATATGGAGGAATGGAAGATCACAAGAGCACACACTGCGTCTGTTAGTGGCAATAAATTCCATGACAACATTGTAATTTCACCAAATTGGGGTTGAAGAGAAAAACCGAAACTGACTTATTGTCCTCGAAAATCCGTTTCACAGATTGATCATCACATGACGAAAACTCTTCCAAGAGCTTGTTTAGTTGAAGTTTCTGTGCGACAGTCAAGTTTCTCTGGAAGCAAGACAGGATTAGCTGATAAAAAATTAAGTGTAAAGCATTTGGCATTGATCAATCTGTTCCCTGATGCGCTACGCGTTTCACTTTCATTCAATATGGTAGTGGCACTTGACTGCCCTTCAGCCTATAATATGATTCGGGGAACCAATTAATGCAATGGATAACACTGTGTAATTACAAGGGAGCTGAGTTATGGGCAGAACACTTGGCCCCGGGCGGGGCGAACCGCGCACCTCTCATTTTACAGACAGTTGGCTGCCTATTACATCATCAGGGCATCGCTTTACCTTTCAGCGCTAACACTTACAACGTGATGAGCTGGTTAACCGGTATCGGCAGTAAACCACGAAGCTGAAAGATCAAGTAGATACTAATCTTGATAACGAGGCAATAATAGAGATCGAATCGAAAATTTAATTTTCCGACCCCGAAGAGCTGTATATGGCTTGCTCGTCTAACTGGGCGAGACTTCAGTATTGACAATATTTATAACACACTAGCCTGAAAGGGGAAACTTGTACATACCTATCCTTTGCCCTGGCTCCAAGCGGAACAAATAAATAGATCCGTTTTACCCTTTATTTGTCATTGTCCAAACAATAACTTCCTAGAAACTATGCATATTCTTGTGAAGTACAATACACTGCGTTTCATAAATATAGGTCCACCCTAATTTTTTGCTATTCCAAAGTTGCTGTGCATTTTTGGAAAATGCCGCTATTACCAATAGTTTCCCCATAACGAAAAACCTTGATACTTGATTTCTGGAGAAATCTCGATTCAGAATTATTAAAATATCTTCCTTAGAACGTATTTTCACCGTTTCGCAAATATGACTACACATCACTTGTCGAGAGATTTTACTATAACGAAAAAACGTCACGAATTTTCAATAATGGGATGACCCCCCAATAATCATAAGGAACACAATAATACGTTTTGAAATGCTGGTAGCCAAATTAGCTATTACAGTAGGATCGAAATTCGTCTGGGCGCCGATGATCGACCTTTTCAGCTTTTCGGCTGTTCCATTTTGCTTTACTTTGCTGTGGAACTTTATAACAATTAAGGCCCAATGATTCTCTATTGGAATCTAATTCAGATAACATGGTGGCCACCAGATAACTGCCACATTTTTTCCTGCAATTCCATCTGGCGCGGAGGGACCGGCATGGACAGCCGCGTTATCGTGTGTGAAAATCAAGGATAGAGGGGATCCTTGTTGAAAAAATGGTAAGACTCGCTTCGAAAGAACTTCACGATACCCTGTGGAATCTTTGTGAACGGAAACAAAAGCGAGCTCTAGCTACTCAGTCGTTCAAAGGTGCCTCAAACCATAAGGGATTCACCGCCGAAATTACGTTACATTGAAACCCATCTGCGATTTTCACGCGATCATCCTGTACCCTCTTTTTCTGCCATATCCACCTAGAATAAACTTTTCCACGTCGATCTCAGACCACCTGTAGAACGAAACAAGGAGGTAGAGTCCAAGATCGCGAAGGGTCTTAACAGCCACACCATCGCTCATTAAGTTGAGCCCTTTTCCACGGAGAAATGGAGACTTGCGATCTTGTAGCGCTCAAATAATCTTGGAACGCTCTTCATCAATCCGTTGAAGATGTTATTGCTCTGCTGGCTTACTCACCACACGGTGGTTTTGCTCACGGAAGGCCGCATTTCAGTACGGACTTTGTTCGGACTCCTTGTATAATTCGAGAGAAGACACCCAATTCCTCCTAAATTTTGAAGGAAACGCAGTCTTTATTTACCTAAGCGACTCTTCTCTCCGCACTGACCAGGATTTTGCACATAGTCGCTTATGCAGTATGAGCCGGCCGACATGGGAGGAAATTCTGCTCCTCAGCTATCCCACTTCAGTAAGTGCTCTAGCTTGAGCTTGTTACTGGGAAGAGAGGCGAATAACACGAGGTATGGTAAACTCGATGTCGACTGAGCCCACATATTTCCCCGCTTCCCTGATTCCCTTCACGGATCGTGAGAAATGGAAACTTTTTATGAGTGGCCCGATATTCATGAAACGGTGAAAATTCGTTCTAAAAAAGTTAATTGGGTTACTTGAGGGGGGAATTTGTCAGAAAAACACTATGAAGGTTTTCCGTGATGAGGAATCTAACGGTGATAGCAGCATTTCCAAAAAATGCACAGCAACTTTGGGGTAGCAAAAATTTAGGGTGGACCTATAATTATGAAACGCAGTGTATATGTGTAAAAGCAAACAAGTGCGGAGAGTAAAGGACCGGGATCGTTGATAACAAATCAACTCAGAGAACTCTTTCGGTCCTCTAGCCTAGGGAAAGGATAGGATACGGCCCTTGAACCATTATTGTAAGTACTCACCAACCTATGCTGCCAAAAATGTCAACATAGTACTGCTATGCAGACGCAGACATACTTAAACGTCGTTAATTTGAAAACTACCTTGATGTGTGGACTGCTAACGGTACTCTCAAAGTTCGTCTCATCTTCTTGAAGGAATGCAGCCAACTGAGCATCGCTGTGATGCTCTTGTCCATCATCTGAATACGAATCAGGTTCAACAGTGGCTTCGTAAATTTTTGGCTTCAGCACTGATCCTCTGAACGACCCACATCGCTCCTGCTGTCAGCAGAAAAATAGGGATGCTAAGAAAGTGCTACCAAAAGTGCTGTATATGGTCGTAAAGGTGTCGAAAACTGACGATAAAGCGCGCTAGGTTTCTTCCAAGCGGCAAGGGAAAGGCATGAAATTGTAACGCTAGGAAAGGGCATCACTCAAATTCCATAGATTCTCCATTCTACCTTCTCATTCATTAATTGCCAACTAGCGGTTAAATCAAATTCGAACCGTCCTCTAAACGATTTAGAAACAACTATCCAAGGTCCTTTTCTAATGATCCACTATGTACTCCTTCTGAAGGCTGTGCATGAACTGCTTCGACCAGAAGCAACAACAATAGGATGGACCCTTCGAGATCAATGAATCAAACTTCGTACCGCTAATTCGTACTACTACTACTAACAATAAAACTGTCTCGGGATCTATCCGTAATGACAGACAGCCAGCTGTACGAACTTACCACCACGCCAAACTAGGTACAGCTGCTCTAGAATCCATAGGGGCACGCGCACACTGCATTCTTGTTCGATCGCAGCTCCATTTCCTGGAAGAGAACGGTTAATTTGGTAGAATGCTCTCGAAAATAAGGGGTAAAGGAAGGCAATAGTTGACTCTCTGCTTCACTCGCCTTTCACATTCTGAAAGTTTTACTAGCTTAATGACCTCTATAAAATCTTTAATGAAAGTTCATATAAAAGACTTTAAACAAACCAAAAAGGACGCTCATCTTTTGGAGCAGATCCAATCCGAGTGTAACTGTGACCCCCTTGACTTCTGCTTCTGCAGGGTCCATTTGCGTGGGCGTTGCAGCGGGCTTATCTGAAAACGAATACGTTAGAAAAGGCAGGTAAAAATGTAGAAGATTTCGCTTCTACGAGAGAAAAAATTTCATGAAAGGGTCATTTTGTTTAGTTTTTCACAAAATGAGAAATAGCAATGTGCAAACGGAACGAGAGCCGATTCTTGAGTGATACTGGGTGGCGCGAAGGGGGTCTCTGACACTTTGCAAGCAGTTGGTCTGCTCATTTAAGGGGTGTGGCGATTGCGCTTACTCTTTATCCGGCCCATCGAGAAAAGTTGACATCTGCTGTGGTCCATCAAAAGAACAAAAGGATAAACTGGACTGCACAAATGCCAATGTTGTATTAAAGACACCTAGGGGAGAGACGATGCTCTGATTCAACACATCGTCACACAAAACATCGCTCACGAACACATAGAGCGCTCATTCCTGTCTCATTGTCAGGAATGAAATAGAAATTACGAAATCACGAATAGATTTCAATACTAAATTGTGGAAGGATGTGCAGCTAATGGAATCGATTAGAAAAATAAGAGCAGCCGCTCATTTCTGTAAAAGACTTAGAAAAAGGAGGAGCAGTCGCTCATTTCCGTAAAAGAATGAACCTTCATGAGAACCACATCCAGTTGTAGCTGATAATTATCGGGGGCTCTGATTTCTGATCCTTATACGAAACTTGATCCTCTTCAGCAGTAGAATAAAAGACAGTTGCTTTTTCGAACCGTTGCCTAGGGCATAGATTAAGCAAGAGAAAACCTCAAAATTTCCAATACCTTTCATATCCTCTTGATCTGCGAGTCTTTGCCAGTTACTTATAGGCGGCGGTGCATGAACACGAGTCGCACTAATCTCGGCTGCCGCAAGCTCCTCAACGAATGCTCCCTAAAGAGAATGAAATCATCGAATGAATTTAAAGAAACTCAAAATGAAATTCCGACAATACCTCAACCACTGAAGCGGACCAGTCTATATAAGCTCCCAGTTCCACGAACAGCTTCACACATTCATCCAGACCCAACATCTTGAATATTATGATTCTAGCATATTTATGATAAAGAACCAGCCTGTTAATGCAAAGTGCCTAAAATACCTGATAGTAGTGAGTTAAGTTCACAATTTCTTCGTATGGGAAAATCGCAATCAGGACATCCATTTCAGAAACCTGCGGTATGTTCCTTGAAAGTAATTGGATAATTTAATGATGCCAAACAAACGTCACTAATTTATTGTACAAAAAACAACAAACTCCATCTTGACGACGCGATCTTTCATTGCAGGTTTCCCCTCTCGCAATCTTTCTATTTCCTGTGAAGTGCCCTCGATTACATCATCGACAAAGCATGATATTCCGGCACATGTTAGCGTGACTAAAAAGGAAACAATAAGGGACACCAGATGCGATACAATATCGCTACATTTCAAAGGAGCATTGTGTTGCTACGCTCACATATGTGGTCATGCCATGTAAACACACTATCGCGCTAATTTCTTTGAGCACCATGTACCGAAGCACAGCTTATGTAATGTATGGGTCAGCCTCTAGTAAAACGCCACATTCTGGAAAGCTGTTCAAGTTTTCCAGCGGCACATTCGTCTCTTAAAGATCTCGAGAGAAAAGAGACTTCTGATGTCAATTGTCCAGTAGAAACTCATGAGGACGTATCCCTTACCGTGCACCTGGTTCATGAAGACTCTTAAAGAAAGTAAGATCAGTTGCAAAATAAACTCTGAGAGGGTCGGCATTCCGGTGTTACAGTGTTGGACAAGGTTTATTTTAGCACCAGGCTCAATTTCCATAATATCCCCTCCCCCACTTCTTGAGTAGCATATTTATACCTTTTTCAAATCGCCTCACTGATTCCTAATCCATTTGCTCCTTCTAGAGGGAACGGCATGCTGAAGATAAGATGGAGGCCCATCAAATCCAAAATTCCACAACCATTCTCGACCACTACAGAGGTCGCTTGGCTAATGATTTGGGAATGTGTCCACAAAAGAGCCATTTTGCGCAAAATATGCGTATGAGAAATTGAAAAACGCGATGATTCCGATCCAAATAACTCTGTTATGCCCGGACTAAGTCGAATGGCACACGAAGAGTATGAAATTAGGGAAGTATAGGAGACGCGAGTGAATATCAGAAGTTCTGTGGAAACAAATCAAATTGGAAAATCCGGCGCACTAATGAAAATTGGAGAGAAAACCGAAGAAAAAAATTCAAGAGCACTGAAGCAAAACCAACCAACAACCTCATTTGTCTGAGTCGACATATCACGAACTGTTAACGATCGCACGTGTGAACGAAGATCAACCGCCAATGAGATTGGAGAAAGCAAAGAGAGAAGGTGCAGATGTGGCAGAGGGTGAAGGAGATCCAGAAGAACCTGGAGTAGTATCCATACTAACTAATCAAGTGTTTGAAGAGCACAAGCAAAGCAGCATCATAATGTTTCTACTATACTCAGTACTTTGAAGAGGCGATCATGTCATGAAAATCGCAATCGTGAACAAATCGTTCTGTCTTGATTAGCTCCAAGTGTAAACGTACTCGACGAGTTCTGCTGAGATAATCCAGGTGGGCGATCATCAGAAGACACCTCAAGTGTGAAAGCGAAACTATTATCGGGGAGCTGAAATTTCGAGTTTAAATTACAGTAAACAAGCCTAACAGAAAGGGGCGACACTCTCAGGCCGGTCTCAGAGTGCGAATCTAACGATTCACTACTACAAATCCAGGGTCGCTACTAGCGAATCGCTCGATTAGCAAAGTCTGACACCGGCTTCAATGATTTCCGGAAATGCAGTGATGACAAGGAATGAACTTGTTTTGTACCATGACTCTAGCAAGAACATTGGTAATCTCCTGTTTCGTTCAAATACCCATGAAGACATTTCGCATTTCACCTACTACAACTGCTATCAACTCCTTAAAAGTAGATAATAACAATGCACTACCTCGCAGATCAGCTCGAGAACAATCCAGGCCGATTTTCCCATCAATGCCACTTATGGCTTCAATGCAAGGTGGTTCTAATCTGAAAGGAGCGAAAATGGAAACGGCAGCCATGGATCAAATATGAGGACATTACCTGACTTGCCGGCCTCTTCCCACCAAGCGCGACAATGGAGGCTTCCCTTGCTCCTCCAGTGAGTTCAGCATGAACGCTATCTTTTCCTTTTCCAACCCATGGGTATTGCGTCTAAGCGGAACAGTTAAGAAATGTTCACGATAGCCAAGCAAGACAGAAATTAGTCCTACATGAAGCATTCATGAGCTTTGTACTTCCACCATGTCTCTGGTTCAAGCACAAATATCTCATAGTAGTTGTTAACGGCCTGAAAATTACACTAATCGTATCGAGGAAGAATCAATAAATCGAAACTCCTCCGATTCCAAGCAAACCTACATGAAAAGTGTACGTAATATACTGTTCCATGTGGTTGGAGTATATATTAGTATTGTCCACAATAATAGGCTTAATCCCATCCACCATAGCCTCTCTCACTGAAGAGACAAATTCGAAAAAGCTTACGTGAGAGGTGAAAATGGAATCAACTCACCAAGAAATTAGTATTACCTCTTAAAATATTATTTCTGTGATACTCCTCCAACTTTTCCGGTTGAAACTGATATTGTCCATCTCGAACGAAGAAATCGTCCGTGCTGTACACAACACCACCATGATTTGAAACCAGGGGATCTGCATTTCAAAACAATGACTTCCACGGAAAAAGAACTCGGTGAAGATCCACGTTGTTTCACTATGAACTTTATTTAGGCTAAAACTCGGTTTAGGCCAGCAATATCAATCAATGCAGTAGTTGTACATTCTGAAACTAACCAGGGAAGGCATTCAAGTTCCGATGGAACTTTAGATCAAGACCTAGATATATCGATAGAGCATCAAACGCTGATTGCAAATATGGAAACTAAATTGCAAAATGAACCTGAAGTTGTGAGCAGTCAAAGTTGGCTCAAAGTAAAGCGTTACGTATTAACCGTGCTAGCCTCCGGCTTTCAAAGTCGCCGTGGAGTAGTGGTAGTGCTCTCGAAATTTGCACTCCAACGGAAGAGAACTTATGACCTCCCGGGTGAAGAGCGAGGGCACTACCACTACTCCGCGGCGACTCTGAAAGCCTGGGTCCAGCACGGTTCATATGCAACTTTACTTTAGCCAACTTTGACTGCTCACAACTTCCTTGGCAGGTTCATTTTGCAGTTTTAGTTTCCATATTTGTAATCAGCGTTTGAAGCTCTATCGATATATCTGGGTCTCAATTCAAAGTTCCATGGGAAGTTCAATGCCTTCCCTGGTAAACAGGAAGCGCACAACAGCAGAGATCAGACGCACTCACCTTGCCAAATACGATTTTCCACTGCCTGGAACTCCACGCATCAAAATCATCACATGATGACCTTCGCGAATACATCGTTGAATGTTCTCCAATGGGGCGTAAGCGTCATAACATTGTACGTGTTGCAGTGGCTTGGACATCGACAGCCCTTAAACAGGGAAAATGTAGATTAGAAATGGAAAAAGTTCACTACCTTCAAGAATGATGAACCAAATACATTTGGACGTAAGAAAATATTTCAAGAGACATCAACAAATTCCTAAAACAAGGAAAGTGATAAAGGTACAATACACTTCACTCAAAACCTTTCTGGCATAGAATCAAATATGAGAAATGATGGGCAAGTAGACGAATATCTTGAGCCGTATGCAGTCCTTCGCTCAGTCTACTCTACTTAGGGGGGCATCATGATGCAGTTTTCCAGAAAGCTACGGTAACTCCGAGCCAGGGGAGTGTAGCCAGTCTAGGGGGGGGGGGGGGGTGAGGGCAGTCACTTGACATGCGTGAAAAGCTGGAATGTTCGAGTTTACACTAGTTCGCCGAGAAACTGCATCATGATGCCCCCCCCTAACTGGAATAGACCCGGTAGTAGTGTATGGTATGCACTGGCATGGTGTGAAATGTGCAAAATTGTGTAAAAATGAGGTAACGTG